AACTGGAAATGAGGTCATATTGACCAACGGATAAATTTGACAGCATACGTTTGCCTTCCAGAAATTCTCCTTAGGCCTACACATACTATTTGTTATACTTGTGCAATTTGAAAAATTAAGTCTAATGTAAAGCATGGCAAAAACCAAAACAAGCGCAGTTTGCAGGAGACACATTTAGACAGTCCGCATTTTGACGTTTACTTACTTATTCACATGATAATACTGAGTGTGGGAACGTTCCCCTGGAATTCCAGGATGCTTGCACTTTTCGCAGCCTGCATACGCAAAAACATTCTTTATTTGCTTTAGATACGCCCTAGCTGGCGCATCACGTATTACCGATTTTACATTTACCTGTAAACTAAGACCTACTTCGGGGATTCGTAACTTATTACTACCTAAAATGTGTATCTCCCCTACTAACCTATCACAGTATTCGTGCACATCAGCGAGCTTTGAAGGCCCACAGAAGATACCAATTGGGAAAACCCAACTGACGAATGGCCGAATAATCCTAGCAAGAAAAGGTCACAAGTCAACTTTTGTTTTTATAAACAAGCTCAAGCCGTCACAGTTAAGTTAAATTTGAACTGTGTCAGCACGGCATATTAAACTTACATTCACCTTCAAAACGGCTACTAACTGCTTAATTAGGCCAAGGTGTATGTATTCACCGTTGGTCATTTGCACAATAGGATACTAATTTTTTGCTTGTAGGAGCGTCTTGGCGTTCAGTGGGATGTCGGGAGTGAGATCCGATACGATTTCCAACACTGGATTAATTTTAGCGTGATGAACCTCGCCCATTTAATGAGCTTATCCTAAGCTTTACGACTATCACAATAACGACAAGATGAGGAAACACTAGAGGACGATAAAGAAGAAACAAACAAACCCCCGTCCTTCGTCGGTGAGGATCCGGGTGCCTGTTTGCTGCCTCCTACCCCGTCTGCAAAACGCATTCGCTCTCGCCATTGCAAGGCCTCCTGGCAACGTTCACAGTCACACCCCACTAAGAAAGGGGGCAATAATTCTACCACGAAATGATCATAAATCTACAGGATCTGTCCTTAGATTGTGATGCCATCGCAGTGCAGTTGCACAACCAGTGCATCTGACGGCCCAACTGCATTAAGGTTATCCCAAACTAAGTTCGTGACATGAGCCCTCAAACCCACATGCACGTACTTTCCCTCACCCATGCCCACTACCTCATAGATAGAGTCCTCGTGCCCACCGGGATACCCCGGAAGGCCTGAGGTCGTATGCGGCACATTGCGGTCTAGAGACCACTCGATTAGTCCGTCCTTATACTTTTCTGCTTCCGATGAAGAAAAGCTGGGGTAGCTACCGCTACACAATGAACAATAAGAACAGTACGAACCACATGAGGAGAAGATGACCTCGTCCGGTTGCCGCCAACACCGCCTTCCAAACGTAGTCGCTTAGGACTAAGAAAGGCATCACTGCAACGTGAACAGTACGTCTTCATCACTGCAAAGAAAAAAT